GGATTTGAGAAGTCAAAATATTCTGCTGTTGCATACTCTACTCATCAAACCAAACTAAGCTCACATGATGTTTTGTCATAGAAAAGAATTTCCTTAGCTTTCAAACAAATATTATTGAACATTGAAGCATTTTCAAGAATGAAAAGAACTTGTGAAGAAGCTGTATAAAAAGATTCCTAGATCTGTGGTTTGTTCCTCAGCCTTCTAAACTTCCCATTAGATTTACTTATTCATCCTTGAAGGTGCTTAGTCTATAGTCACTTCCACACTGAACCATAAATAGCTTTATCTGATTGCATTCAAACTGTGTTTGTAGCTATTTTCAAAGTTGTACGTCACTGAGACATCATAAAAGGGTGGGGATAAAAATGGTGAGAAAGAAGGGAAATTATGTAAGAAATAAAACATGGATAATTATACCCTGAAAGATGAAAGTTTCATCTATGATATGGAATGGGCAAAAAATTCTGAACTTAAGATGATAAGTGGTATGTTTACAGCCAAGACTTGTCAGAGCTGCATGGAAATAAAAGTTTGAATATTTTTGGCATTTAGATTTGAAACGTACATTAAATAAATGTTACAAATTTATAAGATATCAATTATGGAATATTTCTGAGTTTAAAATTGTTGATATAGTTTTAGAATTCTAATTTTTACTTCAATTTTGTAATCTAATATGTAGGTGAGCATTCGACATACTAGATTTATAGATTCTAAATAACCCACAGTCTGAATCACAAGCATGTATTGCCTCCCCACCCACTCCAACCTCTTATCTCAAGCAAAAACATGTCAAAAGATTTCAACCTGTTTTAATATGATAATCTGTCAAACATGTCATCATCCTGGTCATTCTTCTCTGAATTCTTTACAACAACTCCTCAACTTCTCATAAATAAGGTGACGAAATCTAAAATCAATATTCCAGATTAGTTCCAACTAGCACTTCTAGCATGAATTGATGATTTCCTTCAAATTGTACTCAATATATACAATCAGAAATCCTGTTTGCCGTATTGTTAACTAATGCACATTGTATATAAGGCTTTACAAACTTTGTTATGCCCATGCCCAGATTGTTTTCCTTATCAACTTCACATAGATTTTTACTTTCAAGGCCGTAAAGTGTTTTATTTAGCTAAAAAATATATATATATATATATGCTTCTTAATTGTTCCCATGCACTTCCTCGTTTGTTAAAATTAACTAAAACTGCTGAAAGTTAATTTTGAACAAGTTGAAAGAAGCATCTGTTACAGAAAAATTATATTACAAGTTTTGGCCAGTTAGATTTATTACAAAGCTTGAAACAACACAAACCACAAACATAATTTGCCTCCGAAAAACTTAAACAGTGAACTTACATTTACTGTATGGAGTGAGGGGAGAAAATATAACACTGAAACAATCTAAATTTCTTTTATTTTATGTATTTCTTGGTATGACAGAATACTAAAACTCTCATTGAAAATGACTACATAATGTTTCTCAAACTTCAGCTACACTGTATAATACTCAAAAATATTTAGAGTTGAAACAAGAATACACTTTGAGAAGAATTCAGAATTGTTGCTTATCCACAAACTGTTTTTAGCCACAGTATTGACATAACATTTTAGAAGTTTGTTCTTTTATTGAAGTAGATGACCAACTAGTGGTGGATTCTACATATGTATCTACTCAATAGAATAAATAAATATATAGTAAACAAGAATACACTTTGAGAAGAATTCAGAATTGTTGCTTATCCACAAACTGTTTTTAGCCACAGTATTGACATAACATTTTAGAAGTTTGTTCTTTTATTGAAGTAGATGACCAACTAGTGGTGGATTCTACATATGTATCTACTCAATAGAATAAATAAATATATAGTAAAAAAATAACTGCTTTATGTATTCTTGAAATGAAATAGAATTGGTATTCTTACAACAGTTTTTAGCTCTCATGTGATATGTATTTGTGAACAAATTCTGTCCGTATTAGGTATAGCAAAGTGAGATTGTACAAATTTGAGATTTTTTCACATACACAGGCCTGCTTTAATACATCAACTAAAACTGTTCAACCTTGTAACCATTTTGTACTTATTATAGTTTTCATGCTATAACTTTTAAATTAGTAGCGAATGCTAATGCAATTTGGCACTTTATCAGTAAACATTACAAACATTAGTAATTACCAATGTTTCTCTCATGCCTTTTTTTCCTTTCACATCTTGCCTATCTGTCATGTAATGTAATTTTCATTTTAAGATTAAAAATACTTTTATGCATCAGAAAAATTTGAAATTTAATGTGTGAAATCTTTATAATGTCAGGGTAGTTATTAAAAATTTCTTAAGAAAAAACTTTATATTTCATGTGTTATTTTCAGCAATTAATCTCAGCATGGGTTTGGTAAATTTAACTGATCTCGCAACCACCATAAAAATTAGAAAATAAGCATAAATTATGCCTCTTTCATTCTACAATGAACATAATTTATAACATGAAAACATAAATGTTTAAATGAAATAGCTTAAATCTCATAACATTATACATCTATATATATTTATTATTTTTATTATATCAACCTTTCACCTGTGCCAGGTTAACAATACAGAAGTTACAATGACGCGACTCACGTGCAGTCATGTTACCCTATCAAATAACTTAAAGGTGACCTTTAGTCTGTACAAAGTAACTTGTCTTGGCTGTGTTTTAATCAACTAGTATTTTGTAAAATACAGTCACATTTCAATTATTATACATTATGTATCTATATAGATTATTGCAATTTTGAAATAAGTTCTTACAGTTATTTTTTCTAAAACATAGAACAGTAAATAAAGAAGCTAAGCAAACAATTATCTCTTCTAGTTACGACCTTTGTACTTGGTTGCTGCTTGACATAGGTTGCTAAGCTTTTAAAAATTTTGCACTTGGAGGATATGAAACAAAATATATTCTTTTAGGTTGTATATATACTTTTGAATAACTAAAAAAATCATAAATTACTACATCAATACCATATAAAATTCTATTATAATTTATCAAGCTTAGTAACTAAGCT